GATAGTTGATAACTAAATTGGTCATTGGAGTTACTAATTAATTAACAACAAATTTTCATTTAAAAATAACATTGATTATCGTATAAATACCACACAGTTTGTATCCTAAAACTTTCGATAAAATAATCCTGTGGTTGAATTAATAATTGATTTCTAAAATTAGAGCGCATGAAAACGTGTAACATGTCAATTATTCCTTCTTTCAGTCAACTATTTAATTAACCTGGGATAATTGGATATTGAAATTAATAAATGAACAGCGAAACATGGATTTCATGAAAAATTGAAGCTTTTCGTCAATTAATGATTGATCTTGATGATACTCATAAGTAACATTGAAAAAATGTTTCATTTCTATGTTGAGTTATTAAATTAAAATATACTGTTTTTAACTCTTCATTTGTTATTTGCAAATTTTATTTTTAGTACGATTCTTTTTTTTATAGACAAAAGAATTCTATAGCTTTAAAAAAAACTTAAATCTAACAATTTCTCTATTCATGTGGTTGGTACGTAATTGCTTTTTTCACCTGTCAAAATGCGAACGTGCATGGTATTTAAACGACAATCAGAATCCGTGAAATTGTTCGTTCAATCGTTTTTTACACTTTTATTTTATATTTGTTTCTAACCAAAACAACTGTACACGTGGTTTCTGAGACTTTTTATTTGTACTGTTGAGCACACTTGAAGATAATAAAGAGTTGAATTTAACATGCGCTATGACTTTTTCAATTGAATGTTCAAGTCAAATTATATTTCAAACATTTAAAGTTCAATAATATGACGTTGCCTCATGCTATCCACATGATTTACGTGGAAAATAGCTGAATTGATGTTTTTCAGTTGGGGTAGTTGGAAATTTCTCATGTTTGTGGGTGTGATACATTGTTTGTGGAGAACGAGGGATAGAGTGAAACGTGAAAAAAAAGCCTAAATTAAAAAATCAGTTAATTTATTAACGCATAATAATCATTTTTAATGGATTAAAAATTTGAATAATTGATGAACAAGAAACGGAATAAGCGCTTTGAGCTTATTATAATCGTAATAATTTTAAATTAATAATTAATAATTTTAAAATTTAATAAATTTTATCAAATATTCCATTAAATCCTTCATACATACATTGAAATAAAAATATTTGATCATTTTTATTAATTGTAAAATAACAATAAAAACAATTCTACTAAATATTATGTAAGAAAAAAAGCTAATATGGAACACAAGAATGAAGTGTAACCATGAAAACAATATATTAATTTATCAAAATAATTAAGCTTATAAAAGCTTACGTGCTTTTGTATTCATTAATTTATTAAAATGTTCAATTAATTGAAATATTTTATTTATTCACTTCCCATTAGGAAGATATTGTAATCAGGTTGATTTTTAGAATTCTTATTTTTATTAATCTTTATGTTTCAAGACATTTAAAAAGAGTGTAAAATAAGTTGAGTAAAAAAGATATTTAAATAAATTCTACTCGTTAAGTGATTAATATTGTTGAAAACTCAGATCAACATCAATATACAATGTGTTTGATAATGATTTCACATGACTTTAAACAATTACGTGTTGTTTATCACAACTTCAATTTGTTATAAACAATTGGTTTTAATTTACTGAATTTATTTTATTTATAGAACGATAAGGTATTCTATAAAATACCTTGGACAATATTTTTATAAAAGATATTTCAGTAAATATTTGATAACATCGGATCTGATTTCGCAGTGGATATTTGCACTCTAGACACATCCAGTGTGGATCTTAATTACATTTTATTCTTTCCGGTGCATGCGAATGCCATGTTCAGAAATAAAAGATATGATCAATTAAAATTAATTATCAGATTCTATTATTAAATCTATATTTGATATTAATAAACATGAAAATGATTTGATTATGAAAAATCTTATCAATGCAACTTCGTGTAATTTCATTTCAATTTATTTTCATGGTCTGAAATTCTCAGAATTTTTGCTTAATTAGAAATGTAAGTAAAAAGAACGTAAATATATACGTAAATATTTTATGTCAATGGTATTTTAAAAAGAAGATGAATATACTAAAAAAATTGTTGGATAAAAATGACTTTGCATAAGAACTAAACTAAGGGCGAGCTAGAATTGTATTGAAAATCGTCCAACTTGAGATAAAAATTACTTCTAAAAGTAATAAAAGTTACTTTAAGCTAATTAAATTCTGTTCTTTTGAAGAATAATCTTTACCCAACAATTTTTTCAATGAAGAAACTCGATAAGAAAATAAAGTCTTACTTCTAGCGGTGGAGGTTGTGCATCTTTCGTTCAATAATTTGTCGTTAAATATCACCGATGTAGATGTCTCAATGTGGTGTACTGATAAAATGAGGTGTAACCAAAGTTTAAATATGTTTAAAACAATTTTAATCTGTTAAGTCGAAGCGAATTTACTCCAATCACCGTATGTACACACACTCAAGTACAAATACATGTCTACAAGCATACAATTTGTAAAATTTAATTACTAAAATACTCATCGTGAAACGTTTTTCATCTTACATATCTCTGAACATATCAAGGGCTAATTGAATTTTTATTAAATTAGATTCAATTCTTTTTAACCAAATGGTTTTAAAGACTAGCCTGGAACAGAATTAAAAATATTTTTTTAACTTTCAAGTCTTTAATTTATTTTTAAATTTTAATTCGAATTACTCGAAACAGAATTTAAAATACTTCTTTAACTTCAAAGTCTTGATTCACAACTTTGAAGTTGAAATCCGAATTACAAGTATGTCATCATACATATAATCTAAGCCCATGGGTAGAAAAGCTTTAAGAAAGTTGACGTTAAAAATGGATCTTATAAAATTTATTTGGAACCTCAGAAATGTATTAATGCCATACAAACAGAGCTATAAAAATTCATGATGACATTGATGACTAAAATAAGGTTCTTCAGATCAGTCTCTAAGACACTAGAATCTTCAATGAGGTTGATAATTTCCAAAATGGTTCTAAATTATAGGCAGTAATTGGAACATCAAAGGAATGGAAGATTTGGAAATTGAAACCGAACTTTAAATTTAGTTTCAAAAGCCTTTAGACCAAGTGACATCCAGCCTCTTTATTATAATTAAAAAAACAAACGAATTTAATATGATTAATACAAAATATACTATCAATGTTAACTAAAAAAACTTTAGAACTTGGAAAAAGCGTTCGGTTATTTCTGCAATGAGATCTTTGTTAAAAAAAGTGAATTTTTATTGTTTTTATTTCAGTGAGTATTTTCATTTAGAAGCCATTTAACACATTTGTGACCCCAAAAAATAAAAGCCTTGTAGTTCATGATAACAGAGTTTCATCACCTTGAATATTCGTTTCCACTCTCAATTTATGTTCTGGCTCAGTGATCCGAACATATACGCACTATACGTGACATTATCCGGAAAAGCTCCTTTCTATGAGAGACTTTGTTCTGAGCTTGAATTTCACAAAAACTTTTTCGTGATTGAAGTAAATAACAGCAAAAACGTTCGGAAATTGTTTCTGTCAGTCAACCATTCAAGTTACATGTGGATATAAGCTGCTAGAAAACTCAAGTAATCTTTACTTGAAGCTTGTGCTGGTAAAGTATTAACAAGTTTATCAAAATGGTTTTGAGCTACTCATCAATTCCTCAATAGTCTGGAACAACGGGTAGATTAGTTTCAAATTTGTGCATAGTAATCGACAGAAACTAAGGGAAATTTAGATGAGAAATTTCTTGAATTTGATTTCAATTGATTTTATTCAACTTCAAAGGTGTTTTAGAGTACCTAAAATTCATTAAAAAAAGAAAATTATTAAAAAGATTTTTGTTAAATTAATTAATTTGTTTTATTAAATTTGTTGTAAGCATAATCAAATTTTTAAAATATTAATTCGCTGGTAATTTAAATTAATTTTCTGATTTATTTAAAGATAATTAACTGCTAATATAAATAAATTAAATGAAAAATAAGAGACTGTTGATAAATGTAATGAAAAAATCATTTTGTTGTAAAACTCAGGTAAATTAATATCAAAACATGTCGTCCAATTGGTAACACTAAATTTCATTAACTTCAACAAAATTAATATTTATCAAAATTTTTGGTTTTATTATATCAACTTGTGATAAATTTATTTAAGGGAAATGATAAAATTTTTAAAATAAACCATTTTCCACAATTATTTAAAATATCCCTTGATCCAAGATCGTTCAATTATTCATTCAATATAAAGTGATAGAAAAAAATTCAATTGATTTTTCTGCAACTCTTATAAATTCGTTCATTATAATAATATCATTAAACTAACGCTTATTATCATTCCTTTCGAGATAAAAAAAACTTTTTGAAACTTTCGACATAAATTCGTCGATAAAAATAAGAAATAAAAATTAGGAAAAGACAAAAAAGCTATTGTTTAAAATTCATCTTTTATCCAGCAGTAATATAGAATGTATATTGTCTCAAAAAATTATCATTTTTATTAACACTTGAGTATTTTCATAATAACAAAATTTACATATTAATGAATTAATTATTATCATATCAATTGATAATCAATCAGCTTATAATGAAGTTGTTCAGTTGGAAAATATGATTTTTGTTGCTCATTAATAAATGAAAATGAGGATATTAGAAAGCGATATAATACTTGTTTTTAATATTTCTCTACATTGAAGAATTTCAGTGTTCCTAAACTTTGAATAGCATCAACTTTCAAATAGTACGATATACTTCAAAACAAGTAAAGCTCAGCGGTCAGACCGTACGTGATTTCTAACCACCACAAAGCAGTTGTTAAGCTCTCGGAATTTCGCCATTGATGTATTGTAACAGTTGAATGCACATATAAGATATGTATGTTATAATGATGAAGTGTTTGAAAGAATATTTAATGTTATTATTAAAATAACTTTGGTTATTAATTAAAGTTATTAATATATTATCAAATTCCATTTTCATTTCAACGTTCTCGTTTGAAATATAATTATTTACGAAATTCAATACATTTTAACATAAAACCACAGATATGTTTACAACTGTAATTTAAAGGACATTTTCAACGAATAAGCTTATTTTATTTTCATCTACATACAAGTAATAATACAAAGTTTTTTAATTGCTACATTCATTATGCATCAAAATTTTATTATTCATCGTTCATTTTATAAACATTTTATAATTTTAATCCATGATAAACTCAAAAAAAAAATCCGTTGTATTTTTTAATTAATAATAATTTTTTATAACTTTTTGATCAGAACTGATTACAGTATTATCAGTATAAAATTTATTTTCTCTTTCTTTTGGTTTATGTATGATTAAAAAAATATCAATATTATTTCTAATTCGAGCAACATTCATTTGTCATTAAATTAGGTTTATTTATTTAATTGTTTATGGTTGAAGATTATTTTTTAAAATTAACCTCGTCGATTTGGTAAATTCTTGTAAATATTTTCCTAAACCAGTTGATGTGAGCAGTATAAGATGGATGTGAGTAAATAAATTTTATTTATAATACTAACATGATTATACAAATATAGTGAATATAGTCATAATTCTAGAAAATTATTGCTGCAAATAGACTCGTAATAAGTTTTTGAATTTCTATTTATTATATTAATATATATAATAATATTTTAACGAACGTTAATTGGCTGCTAAAAGTGCTTCTAACTTTGTTATGACGTAATTTTTCTCTGGACTATAAGCTAAAGTTTTCAAGCTACTGCATTTCTCCATTAAAGTTTTTTTTATGATCAAATTTATTTTTAGAAAAAAAATTTTTTCCTTGGATGATGCTAATGTTATTCTCTTTCAAAGAAAATTATATATACGAAATATGAGTTCTATAAGTTACATCAAACTATCAACCTATATTTTTAACTCCAGAAATCTAGAACGTTGAATAATCTAACACACTTTAAGGCTGACAGACATTTTGACAGAAGCTCTCGATCGATTTCATGAAAAATATCTCTCTCTCTTGCCATTAACTTTTCATTATTTCCGTTTTCTTATATCACGTGACAGGTAGAAGACATTTTCTCTGATTTGTCGTCCAAAGTTCCATGTCTGCAATGTATTTTTCGCCCGGAATATGCACCGTATTTGAATACTGCTGGAACTATTCTCTTAGGATGGATGGTAGTTTGCTATTTATTAAATGTAAGTAGATATCCAATTAAATCCAAGTATTGGAATGCATTTTTTTTTTTTTTTAATAAAAAAAACTTGCAATTTCACAAGCAGTCTTGACTTTCTTATTAATTTTATTTATTTTAGCTTTTGTGGACATTTCTGATGCCATTAGTGGTCAGCATTCTTGGAGTAATCATTATTTGTCCGGCCACTGGTAAATGGATTCTTGGACAAATGGGTCCTGGTGCAGAAAATATATTTGAAGAAATTCTACAAAAAATTCAATCATTTTTACCTTAGATATTAACAAAACCTTATATAAAATCAATTAATTCATCTAATTAAATTGAAAAATAAAGAAGTTAACAAATCATTTATTATTAATAATTAGAACGAAATAAATTATTAAATGATGAATTCATAACAGTTTTTTAGCTTTTCTTTAGAAAAAATTTTTCTATGCTGTTGATTTTTATTTTAAAGCTGAAATGATGTTCGGTTGTATTTATTTATCTTCTCATAAAAACTGATATTTGAACTAAATGGCTGTGCCTACCTATAAATCTATTCATACATAAATTTGTATTGGTAAGTATACTGCTGCTAGTAAAGCAGAAAATAATGCAACAAGTTAATTTCAATATTTGGAAAATATGTTTCACGTTTTTGTATGTTATAAATTAAAATAAGTACATGTACGAACAAAGTAATAATTAGCATCACCAAACACTGATTTAACATTTTACCGTTCTTTATTGATAAATATTTATCAATACTTTTTCTCTTATTCCCATAGAAATTGTTTCGCATGTATAAGTAATAAATCGTAAATTATAGAATTTTTTAAAATTACTTATAGACAAATAATTCAATGAATAAAAATTAATACAAAATAAAATTCTTATGAAAAGCTTTGAGAAATAAATGTCATCTGAGGCTTTATTAATCGAATAATAATTTAATTAACTTCACAAGAAATGGATTATTTCAAATAAATTAGTACTTTGATTAATTCCAGTCTATTTAATAAAGTCAAATATTAATTTAAACTTTATTCATTAAATACTTACAACTACTAACTAAATGTTATTCAAAATGTAATCGATTAAATAAAATATGATAAAAATGCTTAAAGCATAAAACCCATGCCAATCGATTTCAGTAAATCCATACATTTTTATCTTCAACCTTTTCAAATGCACATTTTATGTTTTAAATTTTTTTACCTTCTTTTTTTTGAAATACTGTGTTGGAAAGTATGAATTTTACTATAAAAAATTCTATAACAATTTTCCCGAAAACATCAATAGTTTAAAAGTTATTTGAGATCGTAAATGCTTGGGGTGGATTCTACTTCATATGCAATTCTAGAGTGAAACTCGAAGAGTGCAGTATACAGGTTAAGATAATAAAGCAATTTTCAATCAATCACACGATTTTTCATTATTCATCAGTTCTGAAAAGAATAAACTCTGTTTTTCTAAACCAATTCTCTCCCCAACACACATTTACATAAATCAATGTTACAGTTTTTTTTATTATGATTTTTATTTTTATACCATGATATCATATTTCTTTTCATACCACTATAAAATTCAAAACAATCGCAAGCAATGCAAAAAAGGAACCATGTTTATTTTACTTTTAATATTTCAGCTGGAAAGGGAATAACTTTTTATATAAACCTATAGAATCATTCAGGATATTTATTTAACATAATTCATCTCAGAAATTATGACAAACAATGATACTATAATAAAATGTAAATATCATGTAAAATAAACTGTTTAAAAAAGTAATGAAGCTTCTGCAAAAAATATTCAGTAGTACAGACTTATTTTGGGTAGACGAACCAGTGAGTAGTCTAGACATATCATGATGAATGAGTGGAGTCTCTATCTATAAATATTACAATCAATATTTAATAAAAGTAATTTGAGAAATAATTCTAATACAATTTTACAAATAATGAATAAAGTGATTGATTACAAATAATGCATTTCTGGCATCCATTATTACCTCGATAGGTGATTAATCGACTAAGTACTCAATCGATTATCTAGAATCTCTTTACTACACACGAAAGCTCAATTGGCATTGCTTCTGGTAGTAAGCTTGTTCTCAATACAAATATATACAGTGTGAACACTAGACACTTGGAGAATTCGTTACACTTTAAGGTCCCCTAGAGAATTGTACTCTGAATGAATGTAAGTAAAGGTTACTTGTTACATGTCAGATAGAGACATTGAACTTGGTTAAGTAGATATAATACTCATTTTCTTTTTTAACAGAATAAATGATAAGAAGAAATAAACTTTATTCTTATTTGAATATTTCATTTTATTTTTTCCATAACGTCTTCATAAATTTTGTTTACCCATTCTTATTTGCATTTTATTATAAGAAATCTGGGATAATAGTTCAAAATTTCAGATTCAACCGTGGAATCGAGAGCAAAAAATCCTGAACGTACAGGGATAAATTGTTAGTGCTTTTGACGTTTCAACCCAAAGAAAAGAAAGATATATTCGTGCCAACTATTCCTCTTCACATGACTCCTCTCATCAATTTTCATCTTTTCTGAATTTCTTCACCATTATAGCAGTATGAATGGCTATCAAATTACATTAATTGAGATTAAATTGTTCAGATACTTGATGTTTAAGAAAGGAGTAGACTACAGAAAATAGTTGACACTTTTTATGAGGATTAAGCCATGAAAAGTAATTTTCATTCTTATCTTTTAATAACATTATTGAAAAAGTAGTCAGAGAGATCAAGGTAAGACGGTCTGCTGGTTTAATAAGTATAAAATTTTGAAGTTTTTAAACTACGTATAATATAATTCACAACTTCATATCTCTATAGATTAATAGAAATTTTAAAAAGACTATCTTTACTCGAAGTATAATTCTAGATTATGAATACAGTTTTGAAAAGATAGAGTAGATCTACAGTTATTATATGTACTTTCAAACGTGTAGTAATCTTAAAAGAAAGTGGAAATGAAAAAAGGAACATTCTTTTTAAGAATGACACTCGTGCTTTTATTAGTTTTATATAGCAGATGATATTATTTCTTCACTGCAAATTCAAGTATTTGAAAACTAAACACTCAAAGTGTTTACAATGTGAAATGCAAAGAACAAACTGTAGTAATTGCATGACTTCTATGGTGATGATGGTACAGGGTTGATCGAGGGCTCATATGGAAGATCTGGCCGGAAGGGAAAGAGTAGATATAGTGAAAATCATAAATAGATCATAATTTATGCAAAAATTAAAGCAAGTTCCCGTTTTACCCCATTTCAGGGCCGAAATAATTGATTTTTCGTATGTTTGATCTGATTCTGTATTTCTACGCATTGAGACGAAGAGAATGAGTGGTCAAACTTGAAAATCGGACAACTTTGATTTTTCACCCCCAAAAAATAAAGGTACTCCGATTTTCATGTTCGACCACTCATTCTCTTTGTCTTGATGCGTAGAAATACGGAATCGGGGCCCAGCTCAAGAAAATTCACTTTAATACCCTTAAAAACGGGTAAAACTGGATACAAATTACAAATAATCATCCCCTCGACTTTGAACCCCTATAACTCATGAACGGACGGTCCAATAATCGTTTTTAAGGACGTTTTAAAAATCTGAAAGTCTAAGCTAAATATGCAAATCCATGAAAACTGTTTAAAAAATTTATTTCACCCTTGAAATCGCCGAAATATAAAAAATAATCACATTTTTTTGGAAGTTTTCAATTATTTTGGCAATTTTAAGGGTGAAATAAATTTTTTAAACGTTTTTCAGGAACATATATCTTTAGCTCAGATTTTGAAGTTTCTAAATAATTCTTAAAAATCATTATTTGATGATTTGTATGAGAGTTATAGAGTTCTAAAGTCGAAGAAACGATGATTTTTTAACTCTACTCTGACTGAGTCAGGCAAGTACCACTTGCCATTTTTTGAGGGTGAAAAATCAAAGTTGTCCGATTTTCAAGTTTGACCACTCATTCTCTTCGTCTCAATGCGTAGAAATACAGAATCAGATCAAACATACGAAAAATCAATTATTTCGGCCCTGAAATGGGGTAAAACGGGAACTTGCTTTAATTTTTGCATAAATTATGATCTATTTATGATTTTCACGATATCTACTCTTTCCCTTTCGTCCAGATCTTCCATATGAGCCCTCGATCAACCCTGTACCATCATCACCATATGATAAAAGTTATACTTATTTTCATATTCTACAGGTTTTCGACAATTCATCAAAGTCCTAGGTAAATCTGTGGACCGGGACCTACGATGCATAAAGACCCAGATTAAAAATTGACATGTATAAGTCAGTAGTCTTTTTACACATATTTTCTAGACCTATATTTACATTCACACTTACATAGACTTAAAGAGAGTAGAAGTTCTTGTTTTCTTTCCAAATTCATAAAAGGTGTAATTATTAAATAAATTGTCTTCATGTTTCAATGAAGGAAGATTGTGTTTCAGTTATATTACTGTTATTTATCAGTAACCAGATCAAATTATAATCGCAGTACTTAATTCAAACTTGATATAATAGGCTCTTTTAATCTGGTACTGATCATTTAAGCTGTTAGACTCTTTGAGTATCAGAGCCTGATTAATTCTTCTAGCTGAACCTTTTCAGTATTATACAAAGCTAGAACCAGAGCTGCTTGTGATCTTCACAAATTACTATGCAAAAAGTTGATTGCTTCTTATTACGTCTAGAGTGTCACGAAGATTACAAGACCTAGAATTTGGAAGAGAAAAAGAAACCAGTGACAGATCAATGGGTGGATCATCAAAAAGCGTTGGTAAAAAGAGAGACATTTTTATTCATTTTTATCATTACATCGCTCTTTGAGTTTATAAACGATTCAGATCTCTTAAAATTTTTGTAAATTATAAAGTAATTTATGCATGCTGCATGAGACCGAATAATGTCATGTCCTCTCTTGTCATATCACAAAATCACGTGCACGTCGACTGTCTATCTAACTAAAAACTTCATTGTGAAATCAATAGTAATCATTTCTATTGATTATTAAAGTTGTTACAGTATAATATGTATACATAATACCATATACTCGGCAAAATACAGATTTTAATAATTTACAGACTGGGACTAAACTAAAAATAAATTAAAGGTGAGGTAAAAATTACTTAATTTGACAGCAAAATGCTGTGAAATTACTTAAAAGTAGGTTTAGTTGGCTCTTTTCAAAGTAACTCTTGCTTAAAGTTGGATAATTTTACACTGGTTTATTATTAGTTCACTCACAAA